ACTGAATAGCGTATTGCTGGACAGCTTAGTACCTCGCGTTATCCGCCGCGCCGTAGTCACATTGCTCGATATGAATTTTATCGAATTTTAAATTTATTACAACGCTAATTATTTTTTAGAATTAAGCATAAAGAAGTTCAAAAAAGTTATAAACATTGTATTTTATGGTATTCTATGCACTCAGTTATGTCAATGTTCTTTAATTAATCGAACTTTTGTACAAGTTGGAGCTTTTGATAATTTTTTTCTCGGAAATGGTGGAGTTTAGGACCCATGTCATATAAGGTTTTTTTGTTTATTTTAATGTGTTCTATCGTCTGTTAAAATTAAATTTCTAACACCCTGTAGTGTCTTCCATGAAGCGGTTTTGAAGATCAATTTATTTTCATCACTTATCTATTGAACTGAAAACGAAAGACTTCTTGTGTGGATAAGTTTAGAGTTTAATTTGCACTACAGTCCTTGTAATTGGTGTTCTTTATTTAGGAAATTGAATCTTAGGTGCGATTTCTCATTCTATTAATTGTGTTTTTTTAAGTCTGGCTATTATTGCAACTACATATGTATTTTATGCAAAGATGAATCATGACCATATAATAAGACAAAACATTATGACGTCGTCTCTATTTAAGCTTTTCCAATGCGAAAATAAAGAAAATAGTCGCTCTTCTAACGTTAAAATGTGAATTATAGCATCATGGTGCCACGTCGTCTGATGCACAGCTAAACATCTCTTGTCCAACGACATTTTCGTAGCGGTACGCTGATAATCCTATCCCCCGGTTTTACAAAGCTGCTGTAAGATAATTATGCTCGCAATAAAGCAATTTATGTAAACCTCGGCGTCTGTAACTGGAGTCACGTGGGTCATGGGAACAGTGCAAGCTGAAATGTTATGCCGATAAACCGCTGCGACGATTAGGAAATAATTATGTAGGTATACCTGATGGTTGGCGCTCCCTCTTTGATATCAAATGTAATTTTCTAGGCGTTCTTCTTGCTAGTTATTGTTATTGTGCTCAATTTAAGTCATGACGATTGCACAGAGCGGTACTGTTGAGATTTTCTGCGTCGTAACGCCTGAAACTCCTGAAAAACTGAATGTATTTATTTAGTTCAACGGGATAATGTCTCACTTACGGGATAAAGTGAAACAACCTAAATTAAAAAAATAAAAAAGACATGGAACATTATGCGTAAAGACATTAGTATTGTAGGATAAAATAGCGATAAAAATATAAAAACGAGACAAAACTATAACTAATAAAATATATAATAACGTATAAGATGTAATGAGATTTATACAATATTTGCTCAATAAACAATTTTTTCTGCATTTTTTATACTGTCAGTAATTGGAAATGATTTGGTATAAGAGAGGACGCTTTCAGTTTTATACGAGGTATAGGTAATTGTTCTGCAGAGTGAAACTTAGAATTCATTTTAGAAACATGATATAAAGTGTTTAAAACTAACGAAATTGCATGTAAATTACATATTTTTGATAAACAAAGACTTAAAATCAAAACAAGAAAGCAATAATTCTTGAAATGTACCTGGAGAAAAATAAATTCCATAATGAATGAGACATATATCAGCCTTTAGGTATCTTCGTTGTACTTTTATCTAGTTGAATATTACGATTTAACCACACTTACTAAAAGTTGACGCTTAAAATGTACAATGTGTCAAAGTGAAAATTTTGTTGCTGGATATTGCATAAAGTTTGGGAATCGAAAGTTCTTTGAGGCTATGAATTCAAATCCAATCATAATTTTGCTGTTACTATATCACCAAGACTATAATCTAAAACGACCAATAGAAGATTTCACTTAGTGATCATCATTCAGACTTTCAGTTAGATCATTAATAAAAATGCCAAATAAGAGTGGCCCCAGAATTGACTGTTGTGGAACCCATGAATATTGATCAAAATCTGATTGGAAGATGCGACACTGTACAAACTGGTATACAAGGTGCCCCGAAATTCATGCAACAAAATTTGGTCATAGATTCTCAAGACAAATTTAGGGGACCAATATTTTTTCTTTTTGCCAACTGGCCCCCACTTTCGGAGTTACAGCCCCCTGAAATCTGCCCCTAAGAAGTCTTTTTTTTTTATCTCAAAACCATGTTATACGAGAATCACTAAATTTGGTACACAGGGGTTTTATGACATGTGGAATCTCACAGTGCTACGCTTTTTTGCGAGAAACCCCCTTCAGACACTTTTTCATGGGCCCCCTTATCTTTGAAACCAGAAAATTTTTTTCGCAAATTTGATTTTTTTTAATTATTATTTAGCTTAAAAATTTAGAAACTTCTTTGTCTCTTGATATTTGTTTCGTAAATCGCAATGTTTTTGAGGAAAATGGGGAATCACGATATGCATTCGATCACATTTTGACATTTTTCTCGAAAACATTGCGTTTTACGAAAAAAGTATAAAGGGACAAAAAGTTACTAAATTTAATGGTTTTCTAGTGGACTGATTATTTTTAAGAAATTTAAATATGCGACAACATTTTTTGGCTCTCTAGACAAGGGGGCCCACGAAAAATTTTCTTAAGGGGGTTCCCCGCCAAAAAACGTTGCACCATCAGATTCCACATGTAATAAAACCCATGTGTACCAAATTTAGTGATTCTCGTACAACAGGGTTCTGAGATATAAAAACAAGATTATATTTAGGAGCGGACTTCAGGGGGCAGTAACTCCGAAAGAGGGGGCCACTTGGCAAAAATAAAAAATACGGGTCCCCTAAATTTGTCCTAAGAATCTGTGACCAAATTTTGTTGCATGAATTTCGGGACACCCTGTATATACATAAATTCGTTACTGAAATAAAACTTAAAGGATTATTATTTATCTGTATACACCATTATCACTAATAAAAAATGGAACTGAGATAGAACTAGATATTGATTTAACATGAAAATACTATTTTTTAAGATTTGATTTGATCTCGTCAACAGAATTTAAATAGTTTTTGAAAGCCAAAAATATGCACAATTTTACTTTAGTTTTTTTTTAAACAGTTGTAATCATAAATGTTATTTGTAGGTCTATATTGATACCACAACTTATTCTTTAATTCGAATTTATTAATAATGTTTATTTAGGATAAAATATACTAAATACAAATATGTTCTTTTGTCATCAAGGTTGAGGTGAAGGTCTAAAGGAAAAATTTGAATGAAAGGTCGCAAAAAATAATCTACATAATGTTTGTAAGGTTTCGCATAAATTCAGATGTATTCCTAAGAGAAAGATTTGTTTTNAATCAAAACAAGAAAGCAATAATTCTTGAAATGTACCTGGAGAAAAATAAACTCCATAATGAATTAGACATATATCAGCCTTTAGGTATCTTCGTTGCACTTTTATCAAGTTGAATATTATGATTTAACCAAACTTACCTTGGTCTAAAAGTTAAAATGTACAATGTGTCAAAGTGAAAATTTCATTTTCATTATCTTCAAATAACCTTTACAAAATTGGATATTGCACAAAGTTTGGGAATCGGAAGTTCTTTGAGGCTATGAATTCAAATCCAATCATAATTTTGCTGTTACTATATCTGGCCCTTTGATATCTTGTCACCAAGACTATAATCTAAAACGACCAATAGAAGATTTCACTTAGTGATCGTCATTAAGACTTTCAGTTAGATCATTAATAAAAATACCAAATAAGAGTGGTCCCAGAATTGACTCTTGTGGAACCCAAGAATATTGATCAAATTTATCTGATTGGAAGATGCGACACTGTACAAACTGGTATACTTACATATGTTACTGAAATAAAACTTAAAGGATTATTTATCTGTATACACCATTATCACTAATAAAAATGGACCTGAGATAGAACTAGATCTTGATTTAACATGAAACTACAATTTTTTAAGATTTGATTTGATCTTGTCAACAGAATTTAAATAGTTTTTGAAAGCCAAAAATATGCACAATTTTACTTTAGTTTTTTTTTAAACAGTTGTAATCATAAATGTTATTTGTAGGTCTATATTGATACCACAACTTATTCTTTAATTCGAATTTATTAATAATGTTTATTTAGGATAAAATATACTAAATACAAATATGTTCTTTTGTCATCAAGGTTGAGGTGAAGGTCTAAAGGAAAAATTTGAATGAAAGGTCGCAAAAAATAATCTACATAATGTTTGTAAGGTTTCGCATAAATTCAGATGTATTCCTAAGAGAAAGATTTGTTTTGCTTGTTATTGTTTGGATTTTACTAAAATGATGTTTTTTATGTCCGGCTGAAAAAAATACGATTAGTCATATTTTTTATTAATTATTGGAATGAATTATACGAGTACAGAATATTCCTCACTTTCCCTTAGGATACGAAATGTCAAGGTTGTCATTTGGCTTCTTTTTTGGAATGTGAATCTTCAAGAATTATGCAGAAAATAATGAATTTAAAATAATTTAATTGTGTATATATTTAATATTTTGACAGGTTCTCGAAACAGTTTGAGGATGTAGCTTTATAATTTGTTTATTATGCAAATGCTTTAAATTTTTTAACTTAAAAAGGAAGTGAACGTAAGCATTATCGCATACAAACGATTCTTGTTTTATTAATCGACTTATTTATTCAATGAAATTAAATCGAATTTTTTTAAAGAAAAAAGCAGTTAGAAATTTTTGGACTTTTTTATTACTTTTCTAATTATTACTTGTCAGTTCATCCAATATTTTTTTCCATGCAAGTACAATAAGTACATCATATTTTACACAAAGCAATAAATAAATTCGCCCTATTTTTATTCATTCATATTCTAAAATATGGCGAATGCGCTGGTTAAACGGACAAATATACTTGTAGCATTTTTTAATAACCCATAAACATTATCTTTAACAGTTTTTATACAAAGAGATCATTTTTTATATTCTATAGACTAGTCAACTCGTTTAGCCTAGTTTTTACATTTTTAATTTGGTTAAAACAAAATATTTTCCCTAATTTTGCAGAGACTCCTCTTTCTACTTTGCTACTTAGTGCCTCTGGTGCTAAGTTCAGTCAATCAACATACATTTGACCCATGTTCAAGCAGGGACACACTACTAGAATGTTTTGGAATAAGACCATCTGGGCCTCTTCGGTCAAAAAGACAACAGGGATATATTTATGACGTACCATTAATTCCCTTTGAAGATGTAACCAGAACTAGGTACGTTGAGTTAATAACTGAAATAATTGATAATGAGTGTATTTAAATTATTCCATTATTTCGGATCGTTATTTCTAAATGAACGATTTTTTTAATGTTGGTAAGAATTTTGCTAGTTTTTATTTTTAAACTTCGAAAACGCCTTATTGAAAACTAAAATAATCCATCTAGCACATGACACACATGACTTTATAATATACTTATTTAACTGACTGTGTTATTTTTCTGTAGTTACACACCACCGCCGACGACACGGCCTCCACCATTAAGAACTCCACCTCCAACAATAAGAACACCTCCTCCAACAGTAAAAACGCCACCCACTGGATACACATACCCAACTCCATCAATACCATTTACACTTCCAACGCCATCAAGAACACCACCAACACTACCACCAATAAGAACGCCACCACCAACACTTCCACCAATAAGGACACCTCCGCCAACGTTTCCACCAATAAGGACACCTCCGCCAACGCTTCCACCAATAAGGACACCTCCGCCAACGCTTCCACCAATAAGGACACCTCCGCCAACGCTTCCACCAATACGGACACCTCCGCCAACACTTCCACCAATAAGGACACCTCCGCCAACACTTCCACCAATACGGACACCTCCCCCAACGCTTCCACCAATAAGGACACCTCCGCCAACGATTCCAAGCCGACCACCTACAAGATATACCCCCACGATTCCAACAGTAAAAACTCCACCTACTGGATACACATATCCAACTCCTTCTGTTACATTTACATATCCAACACCACCAAGAACGTATCCTACATATAGCACATTTCCTTCAACGATATCAACAATAAGGACACCGCCTCCAACATTTCCAACAATAAGAACACCGCCTCCAACGATTCCCACTATAAGAACTCCACCGCCCACTAGATACACGTATTCAACACCTCCATTTACATTTACTTATCCGACCCCACCAAAAACATATCCCACTTCTCCGTCGATAAGAACACCTCCCCCAACGTTCCCAACAATAAGAACACCACCTCCAACAATAAGGACGCCTCCTCCAACAATAAGAACGCCTCCTCCCACAATAAGAACGCCACCACCGACAATAAGAACACCACCTCCAACGATAAGGACGCCTCCTCCAACGATAAGAACGCCACCTCCAACCGTAAGGACACCACCTCCAACTGGATACACGTATTCAACTCCATCAATTCCATTTACATATCCAACACCACCTAAAACTTATCCCACTTCACCACCAATAAGAACTCCACCTCCAACGTTTCCAACTATAAGAACACCTCCACCAACACGTCCGCCAATAAGAACACCACCTCCAACGGTTCCTACCATAAGAACACCTCCGCCTACACGTCCACCGGTAAGAACACCACCTCCAACAGTTCCTACCATAAGAACCCCTCCGCCAACGCGTCCACCAATAAGAACACCTCCGCCAACGCGTCCACCAATACGAACACCACCTCCAACGGTTCCTACTATAAGAACACCTCCACCAACACGTCCACCAATAAGGACACCACCTCCAACAATTCCAACTAGGAGAACACCTCCACCAACATTGAGAACCCCTCCACCTACTAGATACACGTATTCAACTCCCTCAATTCCATTTACCTACCCAACACCTCCAAAAACTTATCCCACTACACCATCAATAAGAACACCTCCTCCAACGTTTCCAACTATAAGAACACCGCCTCCCACAGTTCCAACAATAAGAACACCCCCTCCAACGGTTCCCACTATAAGAACACCACCGCCCACTAGATACACGTATTCAACGCCTCCATTTACATTTACATACCCGACTCCACCGAAAACTTATCCCACTTCTCCGTCGATAAGAACACCTCCTCCAACGTTCCCGACAATAAGAACACCTCCTCCAACGTTTCCGACAATAAGAACACCTCCCCAAACGTTCCCGACAATAAGAACACCACCAACGACGTTCCCAACAATACGAACACCTCCACCAACAATAAGAACGCCACCACCTACTAGATATACTTATCCTACCCCCTCTGTTACATTTACATACTCGACGCCGCCAAAAACGTATCCTACTCCCCCTCCAACGATTCCAACTCTAAGAACACCTCCTCCGACATTCCCAACAATAAGAACACCTCCACCAACATTCCCCACAATAAGAACACATCCACCAACATTCCCAACAATAAGAACACCTCCACCAACATTCCCCACAATAAGAACACCTCCACCAACATTCCCAACAATAAGAACACCTCCACCAACATTCCCCACAATAAGAACACCTCCACCAACATTCCCAACAATAAGAACACCTCCACCAACATTCCCGACAATAAGAACACCTCCACCAACGTTCCCAACAATAAGAACACCACCGCCAACGTTCCCAACAATACGAACACCTCCACCAACAATAAGAACGCCACCACCTACTAGATATACCTATCCTACCCCTGTTACATTTACATACCCGACACCGCCAAAAACGTATCCTACTCCCCCTCCAACGATTCCAACTCTAAGAACACCTCCTCCAACGTTCCCAACTTTAACTAGCTCACGTACTTATTTACCTCCGGTATCCACTACCCCTAGAACTCCACCTCCATTTACATTCACCACACCGCGTACACCACCTCCCGTTACTTATACAACACCAAGACCACCGCCAGTTACATATACCACCCCTCGAACTTTCCCCCCAATTAGTTTCACAACACCAAGAACTACTCCGTTTACATTCACAACACCTCGAACACCACCTCCCGCTACTTATACAACTCCAAGGCCACCGCCAGTTACATATACTACCCCTCGAACTTTCCCCCCAATTAGTTTCACAACACCAAGAACTACTCCATTTACATTCACAACACCTCGAACACCACCTCCCATTACTTATACAACACCAAGACCACCGCCAGTTACATATACCACCCCTCGAACTTTCCCCCCAATTAGTTTCACAACACCTCGAACACCACCTCCCGTTACTTACACAACCCCCAGACCTACACCGCCACCAGTAACTTACACCACTCCTCGAACTCCACCCCCAATTAGTTACACAACGCCTAGAACCACGCCGTTCACTTTCACTACCCCTCGAACGACACCCCCAACGCTGCGAACTCAGCCACCATACCTACCACCCAAAACACCCCCACCGCCAGTTTTTACCACTCGATACACACCTCCACCCCCTACATATACGTCTCGTTTAACAACACCACCACCTCCGCCTCCAGTGTACACTACACGTGTAACAAGACCACCACCACCACCTCCAGTTTATACTACTAAATATACTCCTCCGCCTCCAGTATACACCACTCGTGTAACAAGGCCACCACCACCTCCAGTTTATACTACTAGGTACACACCTCCACCCCCAGTATATACCACTCGTGTAACTACACCACCACCTCCACCTCCAGTTTATACTACTAGATACACACCTCCACCCCCAGTATATACCACTCGTGTAACTACACCACCACCTCCACCTCCAGTTTATACTACTAGGTACACACCTCCACCCCCAGTATATACTACTCGTTTAACTACACCACCACCTCCACCTCCAGTGTATACTACCCGTGTAACAAGACCACCTCCCCCACCACCAGTGTTTACCACAAGCTACACCACTCCTCCTCCAGTATACACAACTCGTTTGACCCCACCACCTCCCACAAGACCTCCAGTTATAACAACTAGATATACACCCCCACCAACTGTAAGTTACACGACGCCATCTACCACGAGGTACACCCCTCCCCCTACACCACCACCAACTCGTACTACCCTCTCGGATAGAACGTATTTACCACCCAAGAGCCCAGGTTACTTCTATCCGAAACCTTCCATACAATTTCTTATTTAAGTATTTATATGCCATCTGTGAGCGAATGTAATTATTAACTGCCAAGTTAGCAATGTGATTTACATGTATAGGTTTGTAAATACCTCGATCTTAGATTTTTTATTATTGTTTTAAATTTATTTTTTTTTTAATAATTTGTATAGGAGGATATCAGGTGTCGTGTATAATTTTAATATAGGAAAATTAGTGGATATCAGAACGTATTGCATGAGAAAATATTTTTTTATTGATGAAAGTCATGTTAAATTGTATTTTATATGATTGTATACAAAATGACAAATAGTGTTTTCATTTAAAAGCATGCGCTGAAATTAAATTAATGTACAAAATTATAACCTAATTTTCTACCTCTACTTTCACTATGTGATAGTAAAAAAAATTTGTAAATTTGTATAAGATAGCCTGATCACTTGAATAAAAAAAATAACCCATTTTTATACAAAATTAGGGAACAATTATCTTTTTGAAACAAAAATTGGTATATTGGCAAAACTGAATAGGTATCTATTTTGTATAGTAACTTGCTATACTAATTATAGAATATGTAAATATTTTTAGTGACAAAAAATAATAAAATGGTAAATTATTTTGTTAGTTTTTCAGTTTTCCCATTACCCATAAAATAAAAAAAATTGAATCTACTTTTCGATCTAGTAGGTATAAGTTTTGAGAACGTGACGTCACAACAGTGGTCTGGTAGAAAACGAATGCATAAATCAATAAATAAATTTATGAAACTAATATGTACAACAATATACCTACCTAAGCAAAGGATTATAAACATCAGTAATATTGACAAATAAATCGTAATTCATATGGTATAATCACTGACACATTATTGACGATTCTAATGTAAAATTCGCGCATTAGATCCCCGCCATTTTATATACAGCTTTTCTATTTTTTTTTAGCTAATTACCTTTATCAAAAAAATATTATTTGGGAAAATAGAGATTTAGAAAAATTATTTAATTAGAATTAACTTTACATAGAATGTCACAATTTTGCATAAAATTTAATAGTTTGTTCACATTTTATCGGCTTTCATTAAGTACAAACTACCTGCGCCAGAGGGCAGGGTTCTTGGTTTGAATTGTTTGAATTGGAATTATCCCTCTAATTAATTTTCGTTCTTTGTCACTTTCGGCGCCATCTAGAACTTAGTGAAATAATTACAATTTTATTTACTCATTCAATGGAACACCTCTAATACAGCTTCCTATAAATACTCTTTTAATAGTTGATTTGTTAGTACAATTTTGACTTTATATATTTTTTATATATGTAGGAATGAAACAAAATTACGCTTGACTGCTACGCGAAAATTCATTGAGCGGTACCTTAATAAACTAATTTCGCTATTAATTTCGAGGCGGCGCTCGCCTGAGCGATCAGGCATGCGCTGGATTTTGAAATTATGTATTATCACAGACATGCGCGCATTAATCGTTAAAACGGATTAAAAAGAGACCACCGTTTGGAGAATGTCTGAGCTTGCACAGTAGGAGTTTATTTAAACATGAACAAGTTGAACATCGGCAAGATCTTTCAAGAACTGAATTCGACAGGAAGGAAATAACATCTAGGTGAGGTAGCGGTATAACATCTTCCACCGGCCCGAACATCATGGCTGAAGCGGAGCAACAGCAAGTGCCAGAACAGCCAAAGGCAGCACCGGCAGTCGCTAAAGTCAAGGATAAAGAAGTAATTGGTAAGAGAATTGAATTAAATATTTTTGTGCGACGTTCGTCGGCGTGGGTGATTTAGCCACGGCATCCATGTTTCCCTTTGGCGAGCACATGGCCAAAAAGTCTTGATGTGCGTTCATTTTCCGAGTTTGTTTGAATAAATTTTATGACCTGTAGTAAAATGACATTTATAAAGTCTCAATGCATTTATTAGCTGTCTTTGGTAGCAGAACAACAACGAATTCGTAAAACTTTGGCGGCCATTTAGCTGTACACGCGCTATTTGTATTTGAGCGAAACTATAGTTGTGTATGTAAATAATTTCCAAAACTTTCGTCGGATCATTTTAATTTGTAATATTTCCAACACAAAATGTTAGTTACTAAATAATACGTATAGTTTATTTATAACGCTGCATCATGTTTATTTTTAGTTCGCATATCCTAGTGTTTTTCAAAGCGATCGCGAATGAAGACTTCTTTTTACTATTTGTTTTTTTGTAATACTTGATTTTTTTTGTTGTCACGGAACATCGTGTCTTATCAACTCATGATAATTTTAAATTAACTTCAATGTATTGCTATGCAAATGAGGATTTTTGATTGTTTATTGGTTTGCAGCAAGTAAGGTGACTGGCACGGTCAAATGGTTCAACGTAAAAAGCGGTTATGGATTTATTAACCGAAATGATACCAAGGAGGACGTTTTTGTTCATCAAGTGAGTTTTATTTCTATTTCATATTTTACTTTCTATTGAACTGAACTACTTGAACCTGATATATCTACGCGAAAATCATTTTAATGTTAAACAATGTTTTTGTAGCAGTAGAGAAATTTGTTTTTGTGTTCAAGTTTCTAAATTGCCTAATAATCTTTTAGCAGTGCATGAAATTTTTTTTAATTTAGTTGAATATGCAATGTGTTGGTTCTACAAGACACAAAGAATCAACAATAATTTTATAATTTGTTTTTTCGTATTCGATGTGTCAAAGACTAACGGTAACCAAAAACAGTTTTTTACAGAATATTTTAGATTATTAAATTTTTTGTTTAGATAAATATTAAGATACTGGAAATATTTGCACGCTCCTTAGATCCATCTCTGATACTCTTAAGAGATGCTTGAGTCATAAGTGTGCTAGATTACGATACCTCCAGTAATTGACTTAATTGGTGATGTTTCTTTCTATAAGCATTCACCAGTTATTTATTGGGGAACAGCTGTTAAATTATTTTTGTCTTTTTTTTATTAGTTTTTTTTTCCAAACAAAGAAACTCCATTTGATATTTAATGTAATCTGTTTAATATTGATCAAACTTTTCGGGTTCCTATTAAGATTTGTCTGTTTGAAACGGCAGCATTATTATAAGACTTGAGTTGCATAGCGGTGATTGTTGCGTCAATTATTATACCTAATCCCTAAGTTTTATCTCGTAGGTCAAATAAGTTATCTAATCATAGAAGTTTCTTTATTTAGTTTAATTACATGCATTAACACATGTAGGACATCGAAAATTGCAGTGGGGACAGTGAAATAATGTAAATTTTAGAAATCGGTTTGTCTGCGGAATTTTTTGCAGTAGTTTTTACCTCGTCGAAGGTAATTTTATGTTAAAGGTGGATTTGTTTTATCTTATACTAATATCTTATTTAATCCAAAATAAAATAATAAATGTCATAAAAAGTAAATGATAGTCAAATGGGACTATTTTGTGATGATTTATGATGTTTCGTTACTATTATTCAATATATGTCCAAAACTTTTCAAAATAGAACTCGTACTTTCTAATTTTGTTATTTATTGCATTTTAATATGTTTTACACAAGAAAATTCACTATTTATCCCCTTGTCCCAGCTAATTCTTTAGATATATTACGATACATGAAAAGTAATACAGGGTGTTACATTCTTGTCACAATTTTTCTAATTAGGTAACTCTTACATTAAACAATTGCTCAAATTTCATGTTTCCAGTCCATTTTAGTTTTAAAAATTTTGTTAACTATGTGGCATCAATTTTTTTAATTTTTGTCTAAGTAGCAATAAAAAATATGAAATAAAAAAAATAAAAACTAGTCCCCAACATATCTTCAAACAGAGACTTCGAGTGAGGTCATTTAGATAACAAAAATATTCACTACTCACTTTTTTTTTGCAAAAAATCAGTTTTAGGTCGCTTTTTCAAGTTCCTGAAGGATTTGTTCAAGGTACATGTGCATGAAGTTGAGGTTTTCTAGTTTAAAATATGTTTGAAGGCTATTTAAGCAGAATATCATAAAATTATTTTTATACGGTGTGAGCCATTTTGGTGATACATGGGACCTCAGAAACTATATAGAAAAACTGTTTTTTTTACTGATAAAATGAACATTGTGGACAAACTAACATTTTTTGCAGTAAAATACATGGCTATTTGTGGATTCTAAATACTGTATCTTTTTGGAACAGATATACATACATATTTAAGTAAAGTAAAGCCACCGATACACGTTTATAATTCTTCTGGTACCCCCTTTTTACCGTAATCAAAATGTCCCCGTCAAAATTACGTAATCTAAGCGAACTGTTAACAATATTGTCGTTCTTACCGTTTGGTTGAAGGGAAACCTCTTATAACGCTGAAATTTGCTTGTATTAATTTGATACGACGAAAGACTAACGCAGGAAATCTTGATCCGCAGTCAGCCATAATCAAGAATAATCCAAAGAAAGCTGTCCGTTCTGTTGGGGACGGTGAGTTAGTGGAATTTAGCGTAGTGGTGGGGGAGAAGGGCAACGAGGCCGCCAACGTCACGGGTCCGAATGGCGAGCCGGTTCGAGGATCCCCTTATGCGGCAGACCGCAGACGTGGCTACCGTCAGTGGTATTACCCGAGGGGCGGGCGCCGACCCAGCAACAGGCGCCCCCCCAAAGACAACGTGGACGAGAGCGAAGGCAAGGAGGGTGCCGCAGGTGAAGGCGGCCCGCAGGGACCACCACGCCGGTACAGACCGAGGCGCGGGGGGCGCGGAAGCTACGGAGGGGGATACTATAGAGGACCTTACCGTGGACCCCCAGGAGACCAGGACCAGAGTGGTGATGCTCCCCGTGGTCGCGGACCTCCGAGAAGATTTTTCCGCAGGTTAGTGCCCCGTTTCGATAATGTTTTTTAAGAATGTACCCGAAATGTTGGAATTTAAAAAAAAAAATATTGAAATTAAAGTAGGTCGGGAAAATAATCTAGAATTGATTTGAAAGCTCCAAATATATTTGTTTTGCCAATATATTTCCTTAATCTACTGCTGAAATAGGAAATCATTTAACGAAAACATGATCTAAATATTTATTTGTTGTTAAGTGAAATCCACAGATAAGATAATTATTGTATACAGATATAATTTTACACATTTTTTTTGACTTTTTTTTTTAAGGTGCAGTAAATTATATTGGGGCCAATAGATTATCTAAAATTGTATTGAATTGTCTCGTCCGTACCTTTGTTATAGAGATTATGAAAATTAGTCCATGGTTGTTAAAAGAGATCGCATTTTTTATATTTTTTTCTCGAAATTTATTGGTGAGTAATATAAAAAGATACAAGGTTCAAAGTTAAAATTATTATTTTTATTTTTCTTTGTAATCTAGAGAATTTTTAGAATTTTCTCGATCAAATTTGGCTTAAACGATTCGGGGGCACCCAATACATATTAAACATTGAAAAAAGATTAGATATTTATGTATTGCTTATCTCTCATAATGTATTATCGATTTTGTTAAAAATAAATTGAGCGGCTATATTTTTAATGACAATAATTTATTAGCAGGGGACATCCTGTATACATTATGCGCCGCTAGAGGTCACTTTACCTAGGACTTAAAATTTGTTTTGGTCATAACTTTTTTCTCTTGGTAGACGTCACAGAAATTTGAACATTAAAAAGAGAAACAATATTGGAAAAAATTATGTACTCTTTATTCAAGCCGAAATTTACCATAACTATTTTATCTGTTGACTTTTTTAACTTTTGATTGAAAAGTATGAAATTTCAGTTTTTTAGTAAAAAAAAAGGTACTCCTGTTTTATACTGGTAGAATGTTCTATTTTTGTGCAAAATCTGTTCTTTATTATTATTATTTGAACATAGGCGGAATTTTCAACAATTATGTTTTTCTTTCAAATGAAATATTAAAAAACTTTTCCACACACACTAGATAAATATATGCAATTTTGTAAGCAAACATTTTTAATATTCAGTCGTTTTTTACTTTTAATAAAAAGTCACTTGCCCTTGTTGGTCTTGGGCTAGGCAGGCCTGTTATCAAAACCCCTAGACCAGGGGTCGGCAAGTAATTTTAGGTGGAGTCCGGATACTTTTGAAAATTTTTAATGAGGTACAGAAAAAAATTCATATTTCTTACCAATTTTTTATTTTAATTTGCACTCAAATTTAATCTGCTTACTAACCATTAAGAACTCGAATCAGTCGCACAATTGTAAAATACTAGAAAAAATGATAAGGGTGGCACTCGAACGTAAAAAAATATTTTTTAAATAATTTATTTGTGTTATACTTTCAAAAAATTTTTGCTGGTCCAGTATTTTACCTTCCGCGGTCCGGACCTGGACCGCGGTCTGCCAGTTGCCGATTGCTGCCCTAGACCAATCCTGAGATTCGTTTTGGTTATGTTGGTCCTAAAGACGCTGCAGACAGAATCGCTCCTCGGAAGGTGATTCCCTTGTTTCTGTAGTGACCTCTGTGACCAGTTGTATCCAGTGCTTCCAAACTTTTCAGTTCTTTATCGATGACTGCAAAAGATTCGCTGTGATTGAGGACTTTGTAGTTCCAAAGTGTTTGCGGTCACCATTGATGAAAAACGGAGAAATGTTTGGAAGCATTGAATGCAACCAGTCGCAGAGGAACCACCGGTGTTTGAGGAGCAGTTCTGTCTGTATTAGCCTAGAACAAGAACCAAAATGAACATCAGGGCAGGCCTGGGGGTTCCGATAGCAGGTCTGACTCTACAGAGCCTAGCACGAGAAGAGATTCTTATGACGATTTCGCATCAACCTGAACAACCTTCGTAAACATGGCAAATTTGTGACAATTTTTACTTCAATATTGTCATGTATTTGGTCAGTCGAATCGAGAAAAGTAATGTTGCTTCTGCGAGTTATCCTCGACTGTGTTGTTTGCAGGAACTTCCGTGGCGGTAGAGGCGGAGGAAGACCACGATCTCAAGACAGCCAGGGCCAGGCTGGAGAGCAGGTCGGTCAGGATGGACCCCGTGGACCACCACGCCAACGCTACCGCAGGCGTGGTCCACCACGTCCACGTGGCGGAAACTCTCTATCAGAACCTGGAAGTCAACAGAACACCAAGGTAGGAATTTCACCTTTTTTTCGTTTTTCTGTTGGCGATAGTGGCACTAGTAGCTTGAATATTTGGGTTGTTGATAAAAAATTATGTTTTTGCACCATCGTTATTTTCACTGGATTTATGCCTGTTGAGTAGGAGTAGTTTGATGCACATGAAGCAAAAAAAAAAAATGTATATCTGTGACGGGAATCCCGGAATTTCGATGTTCGATTGATATTGAGATTATTTCAAAGTTGGTCTTTGTAGAATCGTTTCATAATATAAAATTGGTACTCTTGAAACAATTGCTATTGCTCTCGAATGACTGAATGAATTGCGATTAAACAAAAAAGTGGATCGATTATCGTTAATGAAATATTTAATGTTTGCTGTTGATATTTTCGTGTTGTCATTGCGGTGGATTTTTAATGATGAAATTTAAAGTAAATCTAGAAAGGTAGGCAGGTCCGCTGACGCGGACCTTTCTCTCTCTCGCTCGGACCCGTCGAATTATATTTTTAGTTGCGTATTCTCTGAAGCAATTTTCATTTATACAGGGCGGCCCAAAGAAAGGCCAATTTTTTTTAAATAAAATCCCACTTTTTTGTATTTTTATTCAATTCTCCATGGAATTCTGATCATTTTTTATGTAACATAACCTATACTTACCTATCTTTAACCATTTTCGAGATAATAGCGTCTGAATATAGAATATGGAAAATTTTTAAAAATTACTCTCAATATGTAAGGACTGAAACGTCAAAGTCAGTGGGAACTGGTGTACTTTCTGCTAAATACATTTTGTGTTTTTCGAATATTTAAGCACAGTTAATGAATTTAATTCTTAATTTTAATTTGTTTGGTACAAACTGACAAATAAAAATACAAAAAAGTAGGATTTCCATTTAAAAAAGTTGGACTTGATTTCATAACTTTTTTTTGGGCCACCCTGTATAAATGAAAATTGCTTCAGAAAATGCGCAACTAAAAATATAATTGAAAGGGTCCGAGCGATTTAAAAAAAACGAACAAATAACGAACATCTGATTTTTAAATGAATATATTCCATACTTTTGCCGCTCACGGTATATGGATTTGACACGGTGTAATTTTAATTTTTTTTCCGGGTCTCATTTTCTAAAAAAAATATTTATGCAACGTGTAAAAATATACAGCAAATATGTTGCAATATTTCGATATCATTTCGATCTCGATTGGAAATCGAGGTTTCTGGGAATCCCTGTACTGGATCTGTCGACTCGTGCAAAAATGTACATGAATTTTTTCTATTTTAGTATTTAGAGAATATTCCAAATTTGCATAAACATTATTTTGAAATCATATAATTGGTGATGAAACAATATGAATGTTTTTTTTTCATTTGACATTGACAATTAAACGTACACGGTGATCAATATATCTTGGGAAATGCAGTTTTGTTGAAAACATTCGAGGATAATTAAATTCTGAAAAGCGTGTTATATTTTCAAATGCGGGATCTTAAAAAACAATTGTTATAAACATTCTGCTTTGGTGCTGCTAGAAAGACTGTTTTTTATTCGGCATTTTTGAATACGTTCAACTGGTTTCAAGTTAAAAATTAATTTCGTGGAATTTTTGTTCTTGATGTACAAAAAAAAGATGATGAAACTTTTATTCGAACATTTTTAACGTGTGTTGTGCCAAAAATATGACAAATAATTGTTTAATTATTTTTTTCGCTGGTGGCTAAATAAATATCTGTCTATATTTGAGTGACGGCCACTTAAAATATATCTGACCAATTTCCAGAATTTAATTATTTTTTGTTGTTTTGAAAGAAACGGCATTTCCCGAACCGTCGATTGCGCTGTATGTATTTAAAAATACTTGCTCGGGATGTCGCATTTTTAGCAAGCAATTTTTCCCTCGCATCCTCTCTTACACGACTTCTTTTTGTTGTATTTCTAGGCTCCAGATAGCCCTGCACCTGCTAAGACTGAAGTAAGTAACCCCTGCATTGTACACCTCTTTGTGGTTGTAGTAACTTTTTATATTCAAAGGCGCTTTGTAGATTGTGGCGTTTTACAAATAGTTTTGACTTAAAAACCGTCTATTATTAACCGTAACTATTTATACAGAGTGTCTGGAAACTACAAGCAAAACATTTGGGTATAAATTCATTTCTTCGATACTTTTCTGAAAGCTTTAGCTTTGTTTACATAGTTTTAATTAATATTTTAAAGTTTTTTTTCAGTTCTATTTTTAGACATTTTGTATTTTTTTTCAAAAAAAAATATCAATTTTTTTTTTATTAGTATTTTGTTATAACTTTTATTTTCGGTTTTTGTGTTTTATATGAAAAAATCTTCAAAATTATTAGTAGAGTGACTTTGTGGTTTCTGGACACTCAGATGATTGATAAAAAAAAGTTTGTTCAGGCATGGGAAACATTTTTTTTTATTGTAATAGGCCAGTTTAAAATTGCCCTTGAAGGGGAATTTGTAGAAATGTTCTGCTAGTGTAGTAGATTTTTTTTTGCAAAACGCTTCTTGGGAAAATACGAACCATGACAACTATATGTTCGGACACCCAGATTTTTTTGGATAAATAAATAATGTTTAGGGAAAATAAGCATTAGCAATAGATACAGGAAGTTTCATGCTTAAATGTAATTATACAGAGTGTCCCAAAAGTCGATGCCAAGTCGGCAAGTCACAATTTTGAATATTTGGGGTGTCAACATTAGGTATTTTGTGATTTCATTTTTTGATAAATATTGAGGAAGAATCAAAAACCAAATACATTTTAGTAGTAATAATTTTCGTAAATCTTTTTCCATATTTTAATGATTTTTTTATTTGAATGTGGAAAAAGAACAAAAATAACGGTATAAAAAATTTTCATTTAAATTTGGTATTTTTGAAATAGTCGAAATGAGCCCGTTTTTAGAAAAAAGATGAATTTTTCGTTGCCATGAGAGTGTTATTTTTTTCAATATTACCTCAAATAAAGCTGAAATTACGCCTATACGGATTTTCAAAATTTCGTTTTTTTTTCAAATATTTTGAAAACTAATCATGTTAGCCTTGATTTTTTAGAGGCATATTGTTGGTCCCCTGATTAAGCAACTTTGCCCCCATTTAAGCTACTTCGAATCTCTTACCGTTTCCGAGATCCCTGTAGTGAGAAGCGAATTTATAACAGCCTGTATAATTATTAATTTTTAGCACTAAATAAATGAATTTTGCTTCCATTTTTAATTTTTTTTTTGTCCATTATGAACTACAAATTTAGTCTAAAAAAAAATTTGATTTTCTTGCACGTGCATCATTTTTAAATTTTCTAAATTAATTTCACCTTTTTTACAACTTTAAGATTATTGTATGTTTTTGCTTTAATCCATTTAATATTTTTGCGAACTTTTCAAAATAAATAAATTGTTTTTAAAACGTCAAAAAGTTGATTCGTGGTCTTAGTAGGCTGACTTGCACTATTGCCAAGTTGTAATAAAATTCCCCAATGATGCAATTTTAAAACGAATATTTTTTTTTCGTGTCTTGTGAAATTATGTGTATCATGTTTTAAGAGCCCTCTCAAAAAATCGGTTCAAAAAAAAAGTTTTTTTTAGAGGTCGGTCAAGATTTTTAAAAATTTCCAAAATCGTCAAAAATTGAATTTTTTTTTTTAATTTTTTTCTCGTTATTATAATTTTTTAGGTTGAAAAAAATCTCGATTCTGAAAATTTCAAATCGATATTTTTATTTCTAAAGGTCACTCAATTATTTTAATTTTCAAAGTAGTGTACCTAAAATGTTTTCGAGTGTTTTCTAAAAATAAATATCTACGAACTAATAATTTTTTTTATTGAAGTTGATGAACACAAGAATAGAAATAAATCACAAGACACTTAAATTTAAAAAAATTATAAATATTTGATACTCACAGTGCGGTAGTAAATTTTGCCTCGAGAAATTTTTTAAGTGTCTCCTGTCTTCTATTCTTTTCATCAAATTCAATAAAAAATATTATTAGTTGATATTTATTTTTAGAGGTCGCTGGAAAACATTTTAGGTACACTACTTTTAAAGTTAAAATAATTATGACCGACCTTTAGAAATTAAAGTATCGATTTGAAATTTTCAGAATCGAAATTTTTTTCAACCTAGAAAATGATAAAATAACGATAAAAATTTTTTTTTTTAAAATTCTATTTTTGACGGTTTTGGAAATTTTTAAGAATCTTGAGCGACCTCTAAAAAAAATTTTTTAACTGATTTTTTGAGGGAGTTCTTAAACCATGATAAATTAACATATTTTCACAAGACATGAAAAAAAAATGTTTTTTTTTTGAGCCACCCTAATGAGCATACAATGTTTTGTTCGTTTAAACTTTATTGTATGCTGAAGTAACGGCAGCCAAACTTCTAACACTCTGTGCAATTGCGCTCAATCTTATAAATGTGAACCTAAAACCATGTATGGAATGTTTATTTTTCTTTGACGAGACATTTGGGGGTGTCCGAACATAAAGCTGGCAGGGTTCGCAGGGAACGCCGGTTAATTTGCGTGTTGTTCTAGGAGAGTCAGCCGGTGCAGAACACGACTACAGAGAGCAGTGCTTAGGCGCGGCAGCGCTCAAGTCCGTCACTTATAATCATAATATGTTAACAACTTTTAGCAGACAAAAGGCATTTCATCGCGACTTTATGTTATCGTGTTAATTTTTCGAGGGAACATTTTGTGCGTACCATTTCGACGCCGCTTCGCTTTCAAGACGGTTGTTGCGGAAATAACATTTTTGATACTTTTTATATTCTCATTGATGTTTATTATATAAGGATGATTTGTGAGACGTTTGATGTAGATAAAAAAAAAATTATATATAACGCAACCAGTTTGAAAGTGGCGACGGGCCGTTTCATTTTTCGTCGACTCGCCCATGAAATGTCTTAAGACCTTATGTCTTGCTGCAGATTTTTCCTTCATAACAATATAAAAAAAAAATCCAACAAAATACGCCGCCGGCCTTCGCAAGAACTTGGAGAACGGACGGCGTGCCAAAAAAATGATTGCAACATCTAACTTAAGTCTTTTCCACTTGGCAACAGGAAAGGAACCTTAAAATTTGAAAAAAAAATTACAAAAAAATCCGTAAAACCTAAAAGAGGAACAGTTTATTTCTCTTGTATTTTGCTGTTGCAGTTTTCGGGGTTAATTTTTTCCACAGGCATTTGTGATGGTAATTTCCTCTTAAAAATCTTTGGTATTTTTTTGGGTACTAGTCATGTAAGTAATTGCTGTACATTTCAAGTCATGTTCGACATGCTTTGGTATCACAGATGTAATTTTCGAGTTGTTTGTTTATTTTTTACTTTCAGTTTTTTTATAATTTTGTACTAGCTGATGTGAAATGGGAAATAAATGTCTGTTCTCAGTGAACGTTTTTCGTTTTATTTTCGGTATTTTCACCTTTAGTTCTCTCTTCCGGAAAATCCACGACGAAGTATGCTCAGGATTCATTTGGAGGATTTTAAAAAGAAACATTCAAATGCAAAAACTATTAAAATTGATTTTAAATACTTTGCAAAATGTTGGAAAGACAAAAAATAGTTAGCATGAAATTTAAAAAAAAAATGCTTAGGAAAAAAAAAATCGCAGCCTTAGTGACGCTGGCATGTCAAAGAAAATATTTGAAATCAAGTCGTGAACTTCGATTCTGACACTCGCCACTCGCCGTTTAATAGCGACAGACATAGGAGTATAGTCCACGGGCCCAGACCCTTTATTTTTTTTGAGTAATAACGAGCTGAATTTTGACGAAAAGCTTCGTTTTGACGAGACGCCCAACTTTTGCCTCTACGAAAATTCTTGAAAACGGTAGCTAATAAAGCGCGGGTGCGTCAAACATGTCGATTTGGTGAATGATCAATATTTATTACTAACAAGTAGTTTTTTTTTACTTAAATCGTATGATAATTGTATGAAAAACTTGAAAAAACTTTTGTCCTACACGTTCGATGGTTTTTCCGAAGCATCCCCCACTCTTAACTTGTCAAAATAATATGATCTTAGAAGTTATTAATAACCACCTAAATTTTTCACAGATGCTTGGTAATTATTATTATAATTCTGTGAAAGTTTTGTCCTACACGTAAAATGGAAGGTTTTCCTAGTCCTACACTGGGAGTGTCGTTTTCACGGGTACAATTTTCTCATTAATAACAACCTAATTTTCGATTTTTTCTTTTGAGAACGATATAAAAAAATCAGAATAACCCAATACCTTGATCGAAATAATTTTTTTCAAATACTTTCACAAATTTTTTATAAATTTATAAAAATATTTAATAATTTATGTACTTTTACAATTTAATTTTCAATAAAAATGATACAAAAATTTATTAGTTTATAATTTTTTTTTTTTGAAAAACTTATTTCGCTCAGAAATAAAGTTATCTATGTAATAATGAATTCTTCAATAATCTTTATAATAACGTTTTTTTAAATTTATAAATTATCGAATGTTTTCAACATGGTGAAAATAAAAAATTTCGAAATTCCCGCGTCAATCAGGATTATTTTGGCGGTTTGCCCACGCAAACAATATATTATATAGTAATAAATCCACATTTTTTATTTTCATACAAAAATGGATTATTTTATTAATGGATAAAGGAGCTGTATACTGAACAATCCCACATGAGCGTGGTTATTAAAAAACTTTAGCGGTAAAAGTTAATGAAGAATAACAAAATTAATTATTTTAAAAATTAGTAACTATTTTAAATATTTTTGAGTAGTAATTTTTTTTTCATGAAAAGTATATAAAATTAATTAATTTGCTTAATTAATTTAAAGTTAATTAACCTATATTAAAGGGTGTTCAGTTACTGAAACGGGTTTCTTTGTTTAATATACCCAAAAATACCTTTTATTCAAAATTTTTTTCTATAATTTCTAGAATAAAAATACAACATTGTATAAAAACATTTACATATGAATTTAAAATATGTTATATTAAAATACAGGGTGATTGGTGAGAAACGGCCATACTCGAGGAACGTGTTCAGGAGATCAAAATAAACAAAAAAAGTCATATAAACATGTGTCCGATTCTTAACCGTTACGGAGATATCACTTAAAAAAATATAATAAAAGCAGCACCTCAATGACGAAACAAATCATTTATTATAATGTACTATTCTATACAAGTGAAGAAAAACAATTCAATGTAGAATATTTTCAAAAATACCACCGCCAACTTCGATGCATTTACTAGCTCGCTTTTGGAACGCACGTGTGGCTCTTTGGAGTGCTCTTTGGTCATTTCTTATAACAGCGGCAGAATTGACGATGCGGTCTAATAATTCCTCTCTTGTTTGAACTTTTGTAGCATAAACTAAAGATTTTAGCCACCCCCATAGACAGTAATCGAGAGGAGTGAGGTCCGGAGACCTCGGAGGCCAATTTTGTGGACCTCCTCGGCCGATCCAGCGGCGAGGAAAGTGGTTATCTAAGTAATTTCGTACAATATTACTAAAATGGGCAGGGGCCCCGTCATGCTGGAAGTACATATTTTGTCGTATATCTAAAGGTACATCATCCAGTAGATCTGTTAAACGATTTTGCAAAAATTGTAGATAAATGTCCGCTGTCAAACGACCATCTAACACAATCGGGCCCAAGAGTTGATTGTTGATCATTCCGCACCATACATTAATACTAAACCGATGCTGAAAGTTACTTTCAACCGTGGCATGGGGATTTTCATCTGACCATCGATGTTCATTATGATGATTGTTAATTCCATCGCGTGTGAATTGGGCTTCATCCGTAAACAAAATGTAACGGTATAGCCTAGGATTTTGATTTACCCAATTGCAAAATTGCAACCTTAGGGCATAGTCACCATTCTGAAGATTTTGGACCCGCTGAATATGGAAAGGGTGCAGCCCATTCCTGCGAAGAGTCGTCCATACTGCTGTCTGATTAATTTGAAGGCGACTTGCAATGCGCCTTGAACTTACACCTGGACTACGTTGTGCAACATCAAGAATCTCTTCTTCTACACGCACATCAAGACCATTTTCTCGTTCCGATGTGATTCTTGCACTGGGAAACATGCCGGTTTCGCGGGAAGTGACAAAAATTGATTGAAATACACTTCTGTGAGGGGTTCTTCTGTTAGGATAGCGGTATTGGTATTCAGCAACGGCCCGTCTAGC